GCACGAGAGCCGTCGTAAACGTCCGCATCATCGCAGCCAAGTCCTCAGCCAGGACACGTCGACGGGTCTCCCGATCAGCCTGGCGAACAACCTTCACCTCCCCGGCGGAAACAGTGGGGGAACGGGCACCATGAAAATATCCCGGATGCTGGTGGCAGGGAGGGACGACATAACCTTCCTCGACGGCGCCGACCGTCAGATCCACCACCCGAGGCTCCTCGGACCTCTGCCTCTTCGACACTCCTTGTGACACCGGGGATTGGCTCTCTTGAGGCGACGAGGACGAAGTCTGCCCCCCTTGCGTCGCGACCTCCTGCCCGACCAGCTGACTCACCCTCGTCCTCGGGGCTACGGCATTCCTAGCAGCGCGCAACTGCTTCACCCGCTCATCAACAGTAGACATGTTCGCTGCAAAAACAAAGAAATGGGTTAGCAACGATCAAAAACCCCGACCACGAGGGAAAACGAGCACCCCTACCTAGATAATCCAAAGCGGCCGCCCCGGTCGCACAACCGAGCAAAGTCTTTGTATTTATCAAACGCTTCTTGGTGCGTATATTCCCCTGGGCGTCGAGGATATACCGACCGTCGGGCGTCACCAGCTTTGACGGAGGGAGAGACCGCACAAAGGCAATTATTTTCAGATAGGCGGCCATGTCTTTCTCCTCGAGGGTCCCCGCCCGGACGATATACCTATCCGTCCCTCGGCTGAAATGCTCCGCGGTCCACAGTAGATGTATCTTCGGAAGCCACGCGCGGAACCGCTGGCCATCTACCGTGCGCTCGCCCTCGTCGAAGAGAGTGTCCGAGCCCTGCTGCGTGATCGGCTTGACGAGGTAGAACCGACTTTTGAAGTCTTTAACAGAATCGCTATATGCTTTGAAAATTTTGGTCGACTGTTTGAAGGAGACCCACCCGTGGCGACCTCGCACCGTCTGCCGCTGCAAATGGAAGATGCGGAAAAATAACGGCACCGTCGGCTCCACCGAGAGGTAGAAACACACCACCTCGAAAGCCCGAATGAAAGCCAAAGCGTTTGGGTGCAGCTGAGACGGGGCAAGACGCAGCCAGTCAAAAAGCCCCAGATGGAAGGCGAAAAACGGTAACCGGAGCCGAGCTTCTTTAAAATAAAATTCATACATCGGGAACATCTTCCGCCCATATCGCGAACAGATTCGGTGATGCTCTTTTGGCCGGTACACCTGCCAGTGTTGTGTTTCCCCTATCGGCGTGTCCTCGACCGTGGCGTACACGTCGGACGAGTCGGCCACAAAGTAAGAGGGGATGGAAAGGGGCTCCTCGGCCGCCCACTCCTCGGACGGGGCGATACGCTCGTCGTCATACTCCGGGACCTCAGGTTCATTATCTTCAACCATTATCCCCGGCACCAGAGCCGACATCTACACCTGAAAGCAGAGGACATCGGTGAATTCGATAGCCAGGATCAAATCCACCCTTCCACCGCAAGTCAAGTGAAAGGGCGACAAAAGCCGAGAAGCGACGAGCAGACACTCGCTCCCCGTCTACCCTCCTCGGGGATCAAAGAACGACCCCTCACCCCCTTCGGGACGGCCGTCGGAGAAGGTACCTCTCCCCGGGGCATTCATCGGAAAAAGCCCCCTTCCTCGGGGCATTCATCGGAAAAAACCCCCCGTCCTCGGGGCATTCATCGGAGAAAGCCCCCGTCCTCGGGGCATTCATCGGAAAAAGCTCCCGTCCCCGGGACACTCATCGGAAAACTCGCCAGACGCGACGGAACTCGCGTCCCTCCTCGGGGCGCCCATCACGCCCCGACCACACGTTCCAGTTAGACGACGGAAATAAAAAGGGAAGGAAAAGAGGAACTCACTTGTAACGGCGGCGGACGGATGAAAAGAGCAAACGGTACGGCGGCGATCGGCGGCAAGCGACGGACGAGCAGAGACGATAGGAGATTAGCAGGGAGAAAAGTAACAGAATGAGCGGGGACCTCCGTATTTATAACCCGGCGCGGGACTCGAAGCGACCCTAGGCTCATTAATGACATAGGGTAGCCGCCCCTACAACCGCTTAACACAAGACACGTGGCGGCAACCTGACAGTCGCGCCCCTTCACCTGCCTCCTCCCCGTTCTGCCGACGACCGGAGCCCTTCGTGCGAGTGCCCGTTCCAGACACGACGACCTTAAGTCCTCGCTCTCCCCCAGAGCTTCGACTTGGGGGGCTCCTGTTCCGGTATGGGCCTCACCTCGGCAGGCCCAATAACGCAAACGGCCCAGCAAGCGAGCCAAGCACGCCGGGCACGCGCCCTTCTAGACGAGCAGGGGCAGGCCGCCGAGCATTAGCTACGTCTCCACATCCCCTTTTTGTCGTCCACCACACCGGACGAGCAGGACCACCCGGGCTCCCCTCCGCGGGGAGAACAACGTGCCCGGCGCACGTTCTCCACGTGCTCCCCTCCGCGGGGACACGTCACCAGCCAACTGCCCACCTCCGAAAGAGCAGGTCAAACCCACTTTCCGGAGATCTAGGAGCAGTTGAACTAGAGCGAAGACCACGTCCTGGTCTTCACTACGCCACGTAAGCCCTAGCAGTCATTAGGGTTGGGCCTGGTCGTCCAGTCCATCTCAAATGACCGTTGGCCCAGCGCTGGGGTCTCTCTATAAATACCCTCTTCCTCAAGAGGGTCAGGTAACTCTTCTTGCCCCTTTTTCTGTACTATTGCTTCCTCTCTGTCCAACTTCTTACTTGGGCGTCGGAGTGCTTTGCAGGTACACCCCCCTCCTCTTTCTCACCCCGGCGAACAGATAACCGTCCAGCGGAGTGTGGCCAGTCCGTGATCCCTCCTGATCAGGTCAGATCAAGAACTAAACAATTCAAACAAGTTTAACATGAAAATGTTGCAATGCCTAATCGCAAGCCAAATTGTTAGCATTAACTATAAATAAGATGAAGTTGAACAAATCTAGTTCTAGGCAACTAAAAACCAACCAAACACATAAGCGAAATTGCCATCACTTTAAAGTCACTCGCTGAATCCTCTGAAATGGTCCAATGACTTGTTTCATAATAAAAATCAATATCCAAACACAAAATGAAATTATATGATGACGATGATGTTCAAGATTCTTACTTACAGAGTAATTTACTTACAACATGATAATATCCCTTTTCTCTCTACTTCAAGTGTCAAATTTGCACTTATATTACACTGATTGATTGATTTGGGATGTGAAGATAAAAAAAATAAAAATAAGAACATGTATAAAATGTTACTAACGCTAAAGGGCTTCGATGAACAATAAACTCCAGACCGAACCCGGTCAACTAGGATGGGCGGTTCGGTTGTCGTACTGTAATTCTAGCAGGTAAAGGTCGACCGGTTCCGGACCCACCACAACTGCTGCAACCCATGCGACCCGAACCAGAACACGTACTACAACCGACATCACCGTCAGACCAACGTGAGCAGAGACATGGGACTCGACCGGTTCCGTTGCAGCTGGGACATCTGGGGAATTGACCCGCCATGGGTTTTTGGTCCATCACCGATTTAACGAAAACCGCTCCGGCCAGGACGCTTAGACCGGTAGCTAATTGGCTCAGCACGAGTGGACCCATTTGGTTGAATAGAAGATACGAACGGAGATGAAGATTGATAAACAGAGAGAATTAGAAGAGGAAGAGAAGAGAGAGATAAAGATTTTTTGAGAGTTTTATTTGGAGTGGTGAATAAGAATTATAATAAAAAGATGAATAAATAAATAAAGTGGTTGTGGAATTGTACACGTTGACGACACTATGCTTGGTGGCTATAACAAGTTTCGATTTGGAAGCTTGTGTAGATGTTTTCTTTTTCAATTGTGGTTTCTCTTCTGGTAACGCCACTTCTTAATTAACGGTGCTGTGCATTTAACCCAACAAAAGAAAACATGTTAAACATTTATAAATAAAAAAAATTAATTGTTATGCAGTAAAAAAATTTATATACATCATTGATGTCTGTTATTTAGTATTATTTTTCAGGTGACTAAAATTAAAGTCTAACATTTTAAATAAATTAATGGTTTTGATTAACAGACAATTTTTACATTGTATTGTGTGTCAATTAAATTTAAAAAAAAAAAAATCGTTGATAAACACCCCGTAGTAGCATTTATAACAACTTAAGAAAAAGATAATCCCCGTAACGAAATAAAGTAAATTTAGAATTGTTATTGTCAATTGTGAAGCAAATTTTTTTTGCAGAGTTACTTTTTCTCAATTACAAGTGAATTATGAACAATCACTCATAGTAATATGTACACGCTTATGTGAAAATAGTTCAACTTACTTTTAGATTTTTCAAGTTTATCTGAATAAGTGAAAAATGTAATGATGATGTAATTTAACTTGGAGATTCATGTGGAAGATTTCTCCACCACTTGGTCAAATCTAGATGGTTGAAGCGGGGAAGAAAGTCCCATGTAACAGAAAAATATTGGGACCACTAATTTTGTCTTTTACACCATGGTCCATAACCATACAAAAGTTATTTGCAAAACATGATTTGTTTTGTTCAAATTTTCAAGAAGCGTTTTATCTAAAACGGAAACTAATTGTCGACAAGGCAGAAGCCGTGTGCGGTTAAAGATTGTGACTGATATGGCGCCTATTATTCTAGCCATCTTTCTTGCGTGCATACTAGTTGCTCAGACCATAAACTTCTTCAACAGATCTTGGCAATGTTTAATATAACTAATGGCTGTAGGGTAGCATGGGTAGCTAATTTATTACATTGTCTTATTTCGGTATTCATGTATGAGATGAGATATGCATTATCTCCATGATGTCAATAATAAGTTGTTAATTTAGATTGCTTCTGCCAACTGCAAACCTCGCCACAAAGCAAGCATAAGCTATTAGTAGATGTTGCCGCAAGGTTTGCTGAACATGATATAATATCCACATTAAATAGAAATTATATATATTTTCATTTCTCATAATCTAACAAAATTTCATTTTGAAAGAAGAAAATATTACTTAAAAAACTTGTCTGATATTGATGTTGATTCTTGAAGTTTGAATATAGTTTAGGAAACAAAGATCATCTTCTTGCGTCAACTGTGTCTCGAGATGGCCTATCTCAGCATTTTCTTTGTCGGTGAAGATCCGAGGAACACCTACAACATGAATAATAAGACAGTTTCCAATATTACACAGTTCTGAAGCTAAACAAATCAACATAAGACAGTTTCCAATATTACACAGTTTTGAAGCTAAACAAATCAACATAAGACACATATTTTCAAAAGGCAAATGGACTTTATTAAAAGACACTAACACAAAAGCACAAGTTGCTAAGGTTGGGAGAGAAGTCTACCAACCAAAATGATATTAACATAGGCATGTACATAACCTTTTAACAGGTAAGAACGTTCCTATGGAACAAATATTTTCTAGCAGCCCAATACTTCCAACCCGAATTACTTGCTGGTCACCTCCTAGTCTTTCCACAATCCCACTCTTAGCAATTCACATGTGTCAGAATGCTATGTAGATGATTAACTCCCCAAACAAAATACCCCATCAACAGAGACTAAAGCCAACCACACCAAATAAGGTAATAGTAGTTACAAAATCAGCAGAGTAAGTGAATACCAAGCCACCACAGCTTAATATCAATTCAATTACTAAATCATCACTCCAACTCTTCTTCCATACTGTCATTTATCAATAGACACCAAAAAAGCAACAGGATAGGTGAACCAAAATGATAAGGATAGCAACCATCTTTAGATTCTATCTTTAACCATCTCCACGCCATTATTGGTGCCTGCTCCGTAACCACCAAAGTGCTGAAAGTTTTCGATAGTTTCATTATGCAAAACAGCTATCACACCAATCCACCTCAATTACTCATACCATACCTCAAAAATACAGGACATTCATGGAAAAAGTGTTTCATGGACCCAGCTAGACCACAGTCCCAAAGACACTGGTGCACATTTGGTCCACAATGATCCCCATTCTTAAAATGTATTTTTTGTTGGTGGAATTCTATCTTGAATCAACCTCCACACAAAGAAAGACACCTTCAACGGTTACTTTCTTATGCCATACTTTTAGATATTTATCTATTACAACCCTATATTGAGTCCTTATAGGACCTTATATGCCCCACTTACAAAATATTATCCTAATGTTCCTTCCCTCCAAATCCACCAATTACACTCATCCTCCTTGCTTCAAAACAGAACCGAGCATTCTCTGCATTTCATTCAACGGTTCTTCGTCCCACAAGTAAAGCCTTCTTTTCCAACTCAACTTCCACTCACCCTTTTTTTTCCTCCTTATATCTGCCACAATTGCTGACTTGTCATTTGACAAAATAAACAACCGTCAAGAGTGACCTTTCATCCTTTCCAAATCCACCAATAACACATATCCCTCTTATTCAAAACAGAACCAACCACACTCTGCATTTCACTCAACAGTTCTTCCACCCACAAGTAAAGCCTTCTCCTCCAATTTCATATCCACTCCCACACCTTTTTTTTTGTCTTATACCTGCTACGTTGATGCCTTGTCGTTTGACAAAATAAATAGCTGTCCAGATTGATCTTTCAGTTTTTCCTCCTGAACCCCCAAACCCCTTTATCCATCCTGTTTACATCTTTTCACAAAGAAGGGCACACCCTCAGCTTCTCACCCAATATTGACCCCCCACAGTCATATTTATATTGCTATACCTTGTACCATAACCAGCAACCACAATTATCTGTCTCTAACCTCCGCAACCACTTCCCTAATAACTCAATCTTAAATTATGTGAATTCCCATTAATAAATCCTCATCCAAGTGACATAATTCAAATGGTCATATAAAATTCTATGATTTAACTAGAAAATATCTTATGTAATGAATAGTTAAGTTATAGTTATGGTTATTTCTTGAAACAAAAAAATCAATGTTTGAAAAAAAAAATCAATGTTCTTAAAAAAGATTATTGATAAAAATTATTTGAATAGTACTAGAGAAATTAAATATAAAATACAGAAATTAAAACTATTTAATATTATCCCGTTAAGCCAACTCAGTTGGTAGCTGAGCAGGGACATTAGGTGTACGGATGCGAGTTCGAACCCACGACATCCCGCTCATTCATCTTTAAAGGGATGAATTCAGCCATTCGGCTACTTGACCAAAAAAAAACTATTTAATATTTAATGATAACTTTTACAAATATGCTATTATACTCCACGTTTTTAATTGGGGAAATTAATGTAAAAAATAAAAGAGAAAACTTGGTTCGATTAAATAGTTATAATAATACACTGATTTTATTAAATATAGAATTCTAAATGCATCAAAAAATGAAAATAAAAGGCAGTTTCATGAGAATGAGATGGTTTCATTTAAGATTTAAATTTAATATTATAGGACTCGATGTTCATAGCATATATATCTTTATAGGGTATAGTATTTACCATGAAAGCATTCCCTTGCTTCTCCAGCCATGAGTACGACATCCCCACTCCTAAGAAACATCGCCAAGGGAGCATCCTCTCTAGATTTTCCTCCCAATAAAAAAATGGCTTTACAGCCCAAGCTGAGGCAACGAGGACAAGAAACTAATAAGGATTCTTCATCTAGTAGCTCTCATTTGACATGTTTGTATCTAGAAACCAACAAACCAATATAGTTCAAAGAAATAAGCATAATACCTTAAACTAACTATGGGCTTACTCCAATCTGCTTCCATATCATCAAGGTGGCCACCCAGTGTGTCCCCTGCAGTATAATAGATACAATTAAGTGAGAGGTAAATCACTGAACTGACTGGTGTTGTGTTGTGAGTGTTAAAAAAAATTGCTAATACATATAGGTATTTTTTTTTAACAAAACGAGATATTGTTTGTACTACTAGTGCTTGTTTGGATAACAATTTGAGCACTTTTTGTTCAGGAGAATTGAGTACAACTAATTTTAAGAGACATAAAAATTTCAAATTTTTACATCTAGTAATGTATTCATGAAATGGGACACACAAAGGCATTTGCATTAACCAAGTAAAATAGATTCTTTTAAACTTACTTTTAAAAAGGATTCCCAAACACAAATCAATTTCTTTAAACTCTATTCTTTCAACATTCATTTTACAAAAATTAAAACAAAGAAACCTTAACATGCATTGGAATTAAACTAAAAATGGAGTGAAAAGAGGACATGTAGAATCATCACACAAGAAAACTCACAATAAAAAAATAAAAAAAAGTTGCTTTAAGCGAACCTGATGCAAAGTAATTTACTATCGCAGCTTCAGGCTGGAATTCAACACCAGCGGGTAATGCAGGTTTTGCCAATTGTTTGGCAAGCTCACAGAGTGCTTCAGGGATTTTGTTATGTTGGAGAGACACATTATAATTTCGCTGTATATATACATAATCATAAAGAGATTTCCCAACAAAAGCAAGCATATCAAGGTGATGCAACTTTAAGTACCAATAACCTTACCTAAAAAAGTTGGGTCATGCTAAGAAGGCCATTAAACTAAAAAAAAAAGAAAGAAAGGGTTGTGTTGAATAGAGCATTTTTAGACTTTTAAAGAATTGACTACACAGCTTTCAAGACATTATTACTATATTTGATTAAGTGAACTTGTAAGCATTTTCCAAAATATTTTATTTGACATCTTCGCAACAAGGTAGAATGAAAATTTGCGAGCTAACAAAGTTTAAGGTATATTTGAGTAATGTTTAAATAACAATGACGAATCATCAACCTCAAAAATCTGTTGTTTAAGCAAGGTGTGGTGCATGCTACAAGGACATTGAGACCCAGGAACTGTGATGCAAGTTTTTACAGGAAACTTTCTTGTATCTCTCAGTCAAAACTAAAAAGAGAGTTCCTATCTCACACAAAAACGGGATGTATGCTAAGGAGTAGATCATTGGGAGTCAAGTAACCAACTACTAGCTCTCCAAAGCAAAAGTGCAACAGTATACATTAGTAGATATGACTCCATTCTATTCCAAACAATATAAGCATATAACCAAAATTTAAATCTAAATGCAGCCGAAAAACATTTGAAGGGTGAATCATAACTCACATTGGACCAATCAAACTGTAGGCCAAGGGTGCTCCATCGCAACTTTCGCAGCAAAGAAGAACCAGAAACGGATCTGCATTTTCTCAAGGATGCTTCCTTTTCCGTTAAGAACTTCCATTCCTCACCATCCCTACAATCCAAATCAGAACTACATTCATGCAGAGTAACTGGAGACTTCTCTTCAACCAAAACTTTCCCTTCTTTAGCCGCAACAAATAAATTGTGTATAGGACCATATATAGCATTGTGATTTGTTCTGTTAGGTGGCTGCGGAAATTCAGTTAAACTCTCCCTTATCAAATCACATTGTTTCTCTATGCTTAATGCCCCAGGGATAAAATAAAAGCCTGCACAATAAACATCACCACGCATGATTTGAGTTAATTTAGTTTATTCACCGATTACCAATCAACTCTGGTTCCATAACGGAACACTAGTTATCATACATGAATTTGTGAATAATTAGTTTCCAATCAGTTATCTCTATAGTTAGTTCCAAGCATTCAAATGTTCATGCTATTAGTTTATAGCTAATCAATGATTAGTCAAATCTCTACTAACATGTAAACCACGCGAAGAAAACGAAGAAAAACATTACCGGGGTGATTTTGCAAAGAGAAAACTGGAGAACTGAATTTGTCCTGCAGAACAAAAACATCTTGAGGAAGCTCAACGTTGCGGTGATGGCACTCTAGAATTGATCTGAAGTCAAGTACCTCCGTTAAGTCCACCGGTTTGGGTTGTTTATTCCTGTGAAGAAAGAAAACTGCACAATTAGGTTCTGAAAGAAAAACAACAGAGTGAAAATTAACTACATTTAGAAGAAATTAAATTAAATACTTTTTGTTCTTGGAAGAAGCATTGTTATCGTAGTAGAGCTTGTACTTCTTCTCTGTTCGTCGGAAAGCAGTTCGCTCCGAATCTTCCCGGTTATTCTCCGATCCGTACATCGAAAAATGAACCCGAACCGATTGAAGAGTTTTAGTTAGGGTTACAAAAACTGACAAATGATAGAGAAAAAATCAGCAGAGTCAAAAGTCAATAAAACCCTCGGATTATTTCTAATAGACAAGGGTATTAAGGACATTTCGTTTGTTCCTTATCGAAAAAATCTGTGTTAATCTGTTTCAGAGAGTAGAAAGCGGGAGAAGAGAAGAACACAGAAAAAAAAACAAAAATGGCTTGCAGGAGCATGCTTCGTTCAGCGATTATTGTGGAACCATTACAATTTCAATTCCAATTCAAACCCTTACTTTTTAATTTGAATCCGAATAAGCGAGGAGGATTTCGGTGCAAAACCGTTAAGGCTCGTTCGTTTCACCGTGGCGGTGGAGGAGTTCTCCGTTGCTCTCATAACGATAAGCCGTCGTTTCAGGACGATCAAAGTCCTCCTCAAGAAGCTGTGTTGAAGGCCATTTCAGGTCATAATTCCATCTTCTCAAATCTCAATGATTTTATTTTATTTTATTTGAAAAGAGCTTAATATAAAAGTGTGTTTGATTTGTTAATGATTGTAGAGGTATCTAAGACAGAAGGGAGGATTGGGCAAACTACGAATATGGTTATTGGAGGCACCGTGACTGATGATTCTACTGATGAATGGGTTGCTTTGGACCAAAAGGTGTTCATACATTGTGTTTTTTTTTTGTTTAAATTTCATTAGTTCTAGTTTTTATTAAGTTTTAGCTTCATGTTCGTGTATGCTTGTTATACACTATTTTGTAGGTGAATTCATACCCAACTGTTAGGGGGTTCACTGCAATTGGAAGTGGTGGTGAAGACTTTGTGCAAGCTATGATTGTTGCCGTTGAATCTGTAATCCAACAGCCGATTCCTCAGGTATCTTAAGTGTGGCTAATTTTGCTTCATTCTTGTGTTGGCTGCTTTTTAACATTGATGTGATAGTCATACAAAAGGCAACTTCAGCACGTAAGATCTTGGTCTTAAGACCTTAAGACCCAACACTCGATCTTGACTAAAAAATGCACGAAAAAAGTTTTTTCTCACATCGTAGCACATAGAGAGAAATAGACTTAATGTATTGATGTAAAGAATAAACTTGTAAGCCAAGTAGCCAACATCAATCAAAGGTTAAAACTTAAAAGGTTTGCTTTTGTGACTGGATTGAAAAGTTCATTCGTTCTTTAGAGTTTGGATGATAATTGATGATCTGTTGTCCCAAAGTAAGCAAAATTTATGGTAGCCTATGATTGTGTTTCAATTTCCTTTCATGCTGTGTCAGATGTTTTGAATTTAGCACAGGATGGCTCATGGCCGGCATAAATATGTTTTTTACCGACTTTGTGCTGCATACCAATCATAGCAGTGTGGTGGACACCTGATTTTCAAAACAGTTAAAAATTAAAACTCGTAACTGTGTCCTGGTGGGTCATGAAGAGCTTGATTGCTAGGTAATAGGCACCAACATTCTGAAGACGTGTAGAGTATTCCATCTTAAGTTAAGACTTACAAAATGGACCAACCCTGAGTTCTTTTCGAACTTCTTGTTGGGGAAATATATGATGATGGCATTGATTGAAAATTTGGTGTTTTGAAGTATAATTTTTACCCTGCACGCAGTGATTTCCTTCAAGTTGTTATTGGTAGACTGAAATATTGCGTGATCAGTTCTCATAAATATGTTCCATCTACACATATTTGGTGGTTGATGTTCATCTTTCAAGAATGTTAACACATTGGTTTACAGGGATGTGTGAAGCACAAGCTATCAACAATGGGGAAATATGTGTCTGTAAACATTGGGCCAGTCCAAGTTGTTTCCAGCGAACAGGTATTTCTGTCTTGTTCCCTTTTTTTCTTTTCCTCTCTCTGAAGTGATCCTCTTCTACCTTTTCTGTTTTTGCTAAATATGGATTTATTCTTTGAAGAGTGTGAAATTATGTATGTTATACAGTGTAAATTGTGTCTCCGTGCAAATAATTCTGTCTTGTTCCCTTGGTATTGAATTTTGTTGTATTTTCCAGGTCCAAGCTGTATATAATGCTATGAGGAGGGATGACAGGATGAAATACTTTTTATAGTATTTTCAGAATTTGTATAGGATTGCAGTATTTCAATTGGTATATTAACATGCCTGCTTTCTAGTGGTTAGGCTGATTTGTTCTTTGATTAATCCACAATATCGTTATAATACGGTGAAAATTGGATCTCTTCTGTATTTTATGAAGATGTAACTTAGTATTACTTGTTTTGATTCCAATAATTATATATGATTGTAGACATTATTTTACAGGGCATGTAAATGATAATTGAAGATCACGAGTCACTGAGCTATAGATGTTCTGTTTGACTCCTTTAATTGCATAATGGTTTTAAATTAAAAATAAAAAATAAAAAATCTACTTGGTGAGGGTGGGAAAAAAATTGGAAAATGAACATCTTACCATCCTTAAATCTTAGGGTCGGTATAGAATAAAACAACATTTTTTTTTCTTTCATTAAGTGGGATCGATTATATGGATCAATTTTCGTCATAATATTGTTTTTTTAGGATCATATTTTTATTCAAATTGTTAATCTTAAGATCTTTCTTAATAATTTCTTTTAAAGTTTTCTTAGATTTTCCTCTACCTTTAGTTATTTAACGCATTTTCATCTGATCTATTCTCCTTATCACAGAATCTACAGGTCTAATCTTTTCGTTACATGTCCAAAACCATCAAAGTATATTTTCCATTATCTTTTTTACTATAGGCGATATTTTAACACTCACTAATATTGTCATTTCATATTTTATCATGTCTAGTCTTATTACACATCGAATGCAACATCCTCATCTCTGTTACACTTACTTTATTTTCGGGTTGGTTCTTAAGCGTCATACATTATGTCGCATACATCATAGATCTTACGGTAATTTGTAAAATTTTCTCTTGAGTGATACCTTTCTATCATATAAAATTTATGAAGCTCTCCTTCATTTTAACCATCCAGATTGAATTTTGGTTTACATTCCCCTTTTATTTTTCCATTGTTTTGTATAACAGACCTAAGATATTTAAAGTGTGTGACTTGTGGGATGATATGGTCTCCAACTTTTATCTTTAGATTAGAAACACTTCTCCTTTTATTGAACTCACAATCCACATATTTTATGTTATTTTTGTTGAGACAGAAATAATGTGTTTCTAAAACTCGTCTCCAAGTCTACAACATTCCATTTAAATCATCCTTCGACTTTTGAAGTAGGACTATATCATTTACAAAAAGTATGCATCTTGGTGCTAGCTTTTCGATTTCCTTCGTAAATACATTCAAAATTAAAGTAAAAAGGTAAGGGCTTATGACTGAACCTTGGTGCAAACTTATTGTAATAGGGAAATCGCCTGACTCTCTATCTTATATTCGTACACTAGTCGATACTCCTTCATACATATCTTCAATAGCTTGAATATATGCAATCATAACCCCCTTTCTTCTCTAGGGATTTCCACAAAATCTCTATAGGCACTCTATCATGTGTCTTCTCCAAGTCAACAAAAATTAAGTGCAAGTCTTGTTGTCTATCAAATACTGCTCCATTACCCCGTCTTAATATATAGATCGCTTTCGTGGTTGACCTTCCGAGTATAAAAACAAATTGTTTCTTAGTGACTTTAGTCTCTTTCATTAGTCTCTGTTCAACCACTTTTTTGCATAACTTCATGATATGACTCATAAGTTTAATTCCCCTATAATTTGCACAATTTTGTATATCCCTCTTATTCTTGTAGATTAGGACTAAAATGCTTCTCCTTCATTCGTCCGCAATTTTCTTTGACCTCATAATCTCGTTAAATGGTTTAGTGAGTCACTCAATATCTCTATCTCCAAGAACTTTCCACAGTTCAATAGGTATGTTGTCTGACCCAACCACCTTATTGTTACTCATCTTTTTCAACGCTTCATTTACCTCTCGTTTCTAAATCTAACTGTAGTAATTATAGTTTCGTTCCTCTTCTCTAATGTCAAGTTTTTTAGAATTTAGTTAGATATCACATCCTTCATTAAATAAATTGTAGAAATATGTTTTCCACCTATTCTTTATATCTTTTTTCTAAACCAAGATCATGACATCTTCATCTTTAACACACTTCACTTGATCCAAATATCTTGTCTTTCTTTCTCTTCCCTTAGCAAGTATATTTTTATCCATTCTTGGTTCCTAAATATTGGTGTAATCCGTCAAAAGTTTGGGTTATTTCTTCACTCATCGCCTTTTTGATCTCGTTCTTAACTTTCTTATACATTTTCCAAGTTTCATAATTTTTGCTAAGTCAGTCGTTGTAGACGGTTATGTTAGGACTAGTATATAAGTAGTGTTCATTTATAGTTTTAGGGGTCTATAATTTTGCACATTACACACTTAAAGTATCCAAGTGTGAAAGTGAGAAACAAGTTTTTAATGTATGTACTTGTGTTCCATTTATAAAGTTAATCTTTTTCTTTAACTTTTTCCTCGTTATCCATTACTTTACTGGATTTCTTTTACATTTGATTTTCTTGATGTTCATTGTTAGAATCTCAAAACATACAATATTTTGCACAAATCAGTCTCAAGGTATTTTCGAGTTTAATCCCTTAAGTGAAATCAAAATTGTCTTTATTTATTAACTTTCATGGTAAACAAATTGGCACGTTCAATGGGACCCTTATTGTGCGAAATTTTTGTTATTTTTTCTTTACCCATTTAGACATTTTGTCTAAGCAAAGTTCTTCATTCATTAAACTTCCCAATGCTTTATGTATGAGATTAAGAAGTGGTAAAATAATCAATAAGAAAGTTCTCGTTCCAACTAGAAGAAGATGTGTTAGAATGGTAAATCCTAGAAATACTAATACTAATAAAAAACTATAACCCGGTTCTACAAGCAAAGGCACAGTCGCTGCATCTTCGACTGGAGCAAGCACCTCCATAGCAAGTACGATGGTTGTGCCTTAGATTGTGCAAGATGAGGCAATAACTCCCCCCGTCAATAGCATCCAGTATCCTCGTATCACCAGGGGTTACATAATTTATGGTAAGTGACTTTAGACTTTACGACTCAAGTCTAACATTGCCTATGTTTAGTCGAGAGCAACGTTATGGTTTGTCGACCTCGATGATGGAAAATTTGCACTTGAATGCGTCACCTTTTGCCGATAACCCAACTATATTTTCTTCAATTAATCCTCATTTGGCATCAGGGTCTGTTATAAGCAATTCCAATCTAAATTTGCAGTCACAACTAAGGGCAGGATTCGTCCTTCCAGTGATACCACCAGTAACCACAAATTCTGTAATGGTTATGAGACGACAAATGGACGAGACCAACCATGACATGGTTAACATACTTACCCGACAAATAGGAACTGTGTTTAGTCCTTTTATTTATGAGTCATAGTTATCAACAGTTAGCCACTCAAGTGTACATAATCGTTAATTTCTTTGGCGCCCCTCAGGGTCAAGTTCGACCCCTTGTGGTAAGGCCAAATCAGAATGTAGGAATAATCAACGAGGAAACAATAGGGAACCAAGGTCAACATTTTGCGTTTCAAGTTGTCGAACAACAAATACATGTGGGTGTCGAACAAAGGCATCCACCAGTTTTGTTGGTTAATAGAAATTAGGACGCTGACCAGATACTCCGTCAAACCCAGCAAGAAAAAACTTCTAGGACAAAATAACCTTGCAACCATGGTCGAAAGAATCATGGCCCATAATGGTTTGAACACATGCCCGCATAGGCCCAATTATACTTCCTCTTCGTCGGAGTATGTAATACAGACATAACTTCCAATGGGTTGGAAACCCCCTAAGTTTACCAAATTTGCTGGTGACACTAGTGACTCCACGGTCGAACATATCGCTCGATATCTGACTGAAGCAGGGGATATAACAAACAACGAGAATCTAAGGATGAGATATTTCCCTAATTCTCTCACACAAAAATGCCTTCACGTGGTTTACGATGCTCCCTGCCCACTCTATAAATAATTGGACTCAGTTAGAAAGGTTATTTCACAAATAGTTCTACATGGGGCAATCTAAGATTAGCCTGAAAGAATTGGCAAGTGTGAAGCGAAAGCTCGTTGAACCAATTGACGATTACCTTAACATATTCTGACTGTTGAAAGCAAGGTGTTTCACCCATGTGTCGGAACATGAACTAGTCGAGATGGCCACAGGGGGCTTAGATTATTCCATCATGAAGAAATTGGACACACAATATCTTAGGAATATGGCCTAACTAGCAGATAGAGTTTGATAAGTCGAATTATTAAAGGCAAAAAAAGCTATGGAAATTAGAAATTAAAAAAGAAAAGAAATGGTAGCTTATATCGACATGGATGAGAACGACCTAGGGTTCGACGTCGAATACAATTATGTCGAGGAGAACGAAGTTAACTTGGCCGAGTTAAATCCAGAACCCCATATACATGCAAACTCCTTACACCAACGAATGGGAAGAACACTAGCGAACCAAAAAATAATGATAAATTCTCAAACAAAACTTACACCTTTGACATAACCAAAGGCGATGAAATTTTAGACTTGTTGGTTAATGATGGCCAAATTTTGGTGCTACAAGGTGCAAAAATACTGCCATTAAAACAAAGGAAGAAAAAAGGGTTTTGCAAATACGATAATTTTTTAGGTCATAAAAGTTCTCAATGTTTCATGGAAGAAACAAGCATATTGATACTAAGTATCATTTTCTACACAATCAAGTTCATAATGAAGTACTTGAGGTTGTTCACTGCAGCACTCATAAACAACTGTCAGATGTGCTGACCAAGGCAATCAAAACTGGGCACTTCATCAATTTGAGGGGTGGAATTGTTGTTGTTGATTTTTAATCTTGAATATGAATTAATGGATGGTGTTAAATTTAATTCAAATTCAAGTTTTTAGTTGCAGTTTCATTTGCATTTGAGTTTCATTTGGATTTGAGTTAGTGTATATAAACCCAAAGTTAGTTACAATTTAAAGTAATAGTAGTAGATTTGAGATTTGAGAAATAGATTAAGTTAGTTATAGAATCTCTCTCTCTCTCTCTCT